CTGCTGAAAGTGGAAAGTTTCTCAACAAAGTGTGCTCATTGAAAATCAGATTTTAAGGGGCCTACAAGCAGGATTTGTGACATTACAAGTAGTTTGGAAGAAGAAAATTTGGCTTTACACTGAAGGAGTAGACATCTTGTGTCCAGCAGGAAAATGATGGACAACATTTTCATATTCGGAGATTGTGGAATTTTTAATGAGGTAGAAGGAGTAGCTGACTTTTTTAAAAAAAAACCTCAGACGCACATTATCGTTCTAAGCAGACTATTTGTATGTTCTTCTCAATACCTGCCTGGAGGAGATTTTTAAAATGTCGTATTCTCCACACAACTCTGAATATGAAAATATCTGTTCTTAAAATGCAATATGACTTTAAAATCACAAAAACAACATTCTACTCTCGCGTGACTGTTATTTCTGAATGGAACTAATGGATGCATTAATATATCTTTATCTTAGAAAGACCATATGTGATGGTATTTCTGCATAGATGTACTGAAATACAGAAAACCAGTGGGTGAGGCAGGGGGGAGGTAATTTTGGAAAATACGTGAGGTATTCAGTTTTATATATCCTGGGGATTAATGCAAGTGTGTCAGCTTTGCATACTACACGACGAGCATATAACTCTGAAATGGTTATCTGTGTCTCACTCACTCTTTTTTTGTCTGCAGTGCACATACATCCAGATCCCTCAGGTGGAGCACACTCACGCTGTCATCCTCAGCAAGCCTGCCTGGATGTGGGGTGCAGAAATGGGAGCCAATGATCAGGGAGTGTGTATTGGGAATGAGGCTGTCTGGACCCGAGAGCCCGTTGCCCCCGGAGAGGCCCTGCTGGGCATGGACCTTGTTCGGTGAGCAACGAAAACCTTTTGATACTGTATACCTAAAAACAACAACAACAACAAAAAACTGTATGGATAAAATAACATCTTATCCGGTTCTAGCAATAAAGAAAAAATAATCTCCAGAGCTGATGGGAGCAATTATTGCATCCTAATTAAGTACAGTTTGGATGTTGGTTATTCAGTAGAATATTAACTTGATCCTCTCAGGCTTTAATCAGAAAGGTGTGTGGATTGCCACAAGCATGTTATGACAGGCGTAGTAAGTAGCGGAGCGTAGCACTTAACAGTAGCATTTCCTACAAAACACATACCAAAGGAGTGTGTAAACATCACCAACAAACTCAACGGGTCCTCATGGTTAGTTAAACAGATAAAAGTAGACAAGACAACATATGTATGAAATTGTTACAGTTAATAATTAACCCACTTCATGACTACATAACTGATATCTTGTGAAGAGAAACCTTTGCACTTTGAAGTAACCCAGCTCGACTTGTGATCATCAGACTGGGGTTGGAGCGCGGTAACAGTGCCTGGGCGGCGCTGACTGTGATCACTGGCCTCCTGGAGCAGCATGGCCAGGGGGGGCAGTGCCGGGAGGATCCTGCACCCTTCAGCTACCACAACACCTTCCTCCTGGTGGACCGCAACGAGGCCTGGGTCCTGGAAACCGCTGGAAGGCTGTGGGTGGCGCAGAAGGTCACTGGTGAGGATGCAGGGCGAAGGGTGCATGTATAGTCTAGACAGTTAATCTGGCTCAATGGGTGCAGAACTGTTAATATATGCACTTACTACAGATTCAAATGTATTAACAATTTATTGACTTAAGCATGCTCCTCAATATGTGACTTACACACACGTCAGACTTTAGTTCACATCGGCCAACTTTCTGTGCTGTTTTTTTTTTTTCAGGGCTTCACAATCTGTATAACGTGACACTCTTTATCCTCATTTTGGATAAGGATAGGGAAAACAGTGGGAGAAACCCCAGGACAGACATACAGTGCAACTGGTGCTGCAAAAGAGCAAAAGAGTTGCAATATATAAAAATTACAATTTACAACCAAAACTACAAAGCAGTGAGAATACAGAAACACAGGATACTGTACCAGGAGTTAAACACTAACTGTACTAATAACTGAGACAGCTCAATGATTAGATCAGATGTATTCTTTGCATCTGCAAAAATCAGCACCTTTGAATGGGGTGATCTTTGTCCCACTTCTCAACAAGTCTACTAGACTCTCTAGAGCACCAAATATATATTAATCCAAGGCTGAAAATAGTTCCAGTAAATGCTCTTTACTCTTGTTTAAAAAAACATTTGCTAACAACTAAAAAATGAATGGAAATCATCAATCAAGAATTACACAATGGAATGTAAAAGGTAGTGTCCATGGCATGTAGGCTACTTTCTGCTAACAACCACCCAATGTAATGCTCTGGATGGGAGGAGGAGGGATATCGGACACAGTTTTAGATTACAGCCACTGTAGCGGCTCTGTGAGGTACTGACACAGCGGTGCTTTGAGATACATGCTAACATCAACATGCCAACATGCTCACAATGTCAGTGCTAACATGTTGCTTTGGCAGGTATGTTTATCACGTCCAGTATCTAAGTTAGCATGCTAAGATTTCCTAATTAACACAAAGTACAGTGGAGGCTGATGGGAATGTGTGTTTCTCAGGTTTTTGGTCATAAACCACAGTATTGGGAAAACTAGATCAGAGATCACCAGAATCCATCCAGTAGTTGTTGAGAGACATCAGTCTGGACCACCGTTGTGGACTGACCAGCACACCATGCCTAAATCTACACTGCTAGCACGGCTAAAAGCATCTACAAGACCACACCAGACTACAGTTATGCACTGAGTGATCAGCTGCTTAATCAGCCCTAAAGAGCAAATCCATACGAAATATTTAAATACTTACATGACTCATATTTGCTCTTTAATGTGGGAAGCTAAATTACAAAGTAAGTAAAGCTCATTCAGATCTCTTTGTGCATTCTTCATTCTTCTACATGAGACCACAGCTTATAGAGATGTGTCATATAATTCAGGGAATCCTGAAATTGTGGTGAAGAGACGCTCATTCATCAGGGTTGGATCACTCTGTCAATTGGAGATAAACTGTGCAAGCCGCTCTGCTCAGTGTGTATGCAAATACAGCCCAGACGAGCACGCGGTACATGAACAAACAGCAGACTTGTACCTGCTTTTAAAAGGTAAATCTTTGGTTTAAACAAGGCGTCTTCACACACTAACAGCCACTCTCTCTTCTCAGAGGGCGTGAAGAACATCTCCAACCAGCTGACTATCAGTACTGAGGTCTCCGCAGAGCACCCGGAGCTGCGGAGCGTGGCCCAGGCTCAGGGCTGGTGGGACGGCGAAGGAGAGTTCAACTTCTCTCAGGTGTTCAGCCCTGAGAACCCACCTGCCAGGATGGAGCTGGCCAAACAGCGCTACAAGGGAGGCACAGAGCTACTCCAGCAACATGATGGTGAGGGTACATTTCCCAGAATACCTTTGGACATCACCCTGAGAACACTGTTAACGTCCTAATCTGCCCTGTTAGGCTCAGTGACGGCAGAGTTGATGATGTCCATTCTGAGGGACAAGCCCAGTGGCATCTGCATGGACTCTGGAGGTTTCTGCACCACAGGCAGCATGGTGTCTGTCCTGCCCAGAGACACCAGCCTGCCCTGCATCCACTTCTTCACTGCCACCCCAGACCCCTCCAGGTATGTCTCCAATTCAACTAAGAATTCCTTTAGATCATAATAGTTATCAAATATAATAATTAGGGAAAATACGTGTCCATAAATTCCTGACAATTTCCCTGGTTCTTCAGTTACTGTATAGAAGCATGTAAGTTGATACTAATTGTCCCCACATTTATATGTTCAGTTTTACACAGAATATTTACAGCAACAAGATGGTTGTCACAATCAGTGTGCTGTCAGAAACCTGTAAAAAAAAAAGAAAGAATAAAAAGGTAAAATAGACTAACAATACTAGCAGTAGCATCATGATAATATCTATGTAAAGACATTGAAAAAGGACAGAGGAAACATAAGAAAGACACAGGGAAAAGGAAAATAAAGAAATAAGTCAGAAACAAATACATACTTTATAAAAATTGTTGGTATTTAATATCTGGAAAATAGAGAAAAAGTGATTTTGTGGTATACCTCCAATTAATTTCAAATGCTAAGCTAACCTTGAGATTTTTACATACAATTCAACATACATAAAGAAAGCTTCTAATAATAAACTAATAATTCATATATGTACTATATATACTTTGGTTTAAATGGGGCAGTTCCTTCAGGGAACATTAACAATAAACTAATTAAACTGACCTTAAAACATCTGAGTCGGAATGTTGTTTCTATATTATTATGGAAGAACAAAGCCATAAAACATGCCAAACTGCAACATTGATAGATGTGTTTCATTGTACCTCAGTGGCTGTTAAAACCACTGCAGTGCACATTGGAGTGTCACTGCTACTTTGACCACCAGTAGACTCCCACCAAAAGAGAGCTCTGCATTCCTGTTATATCCTAAATTCAGCAGCTGTTGGGCTGAAACATGTTGCTCGACCAGAGGGACATTGGTTCAAAACCCTGTCCTACCAGATCCATTCCTAGTGTGTGGTAGGTTCTGGAAAAACTGCAGTAATATGTTCAAATGCATACATCATGACGTGTTAAAACCCCAGTATTCTCTTTCTCCACATCTTTCCTGCATTCTGTCTCCACTCTGGGTGATGGGAGTTTCTGAGTCTGCGTTTCTGTCTTTCCTGTTACTCTCTTAACCCCCCCCCCGGTAGGTCTGTATTCAAGCCTTTTATCTTCTCGGACCATTCCACCCCAGTGCTGCGGGTGATCTCCCCACAGTTCGGTCCAGACGACCCTGTCAGGAAGCAGCCTCGCTTTCAGAGCCAGGTGGACCGCAGGCATGACCTGTACAAGGCCCACCAGGTGGCGCTCAACACCATGGAGACCAACCCGGTGGGCACTGGTGGATGACTTAGGTCAATGATAGTCCTGTGCAGATCCAGGCAGAGCTGGAAGTTCACATCTATTTATATATATATATATATGTGTGTGTATATGTACATGCACAGCATTTTATTGAGAGTTGAACTCGTCAGTTGTTGCTGATTAATTGCAGGCGAGTCACACAGGACTGACACTCCCATTAAGGACCAAAACACAACAGTGCAGACAAGACACATGGCGTGAGTGTAGACTAAACATAAACACACTACAAGTACACATTGAAAGCCAAAGAGCAGGGTTCAGTGCAACCAAAGACCATCATGAGAATGCTGGGAGGTTTTACTACTGCAAAACAAAGTGACTGTCCTGTCTGAGATGACTTGTGTTTTTTTGTTCAGACATTCTAAGCACATACATTTTAACCAGCATTGAGTTTATTATATAGTCACTGAGATAGAATAAGGTGCCACAGAAAGACCAGTGTGCTATTTACAGATACACAAGAGCCTGGTGTAGTAACCAAATTCCCAATTTCATTCTACATACAAATTCAAAGCAGCTGTTGAGTATATTGTTTGTTCACAGTGAATAACTCACTGCTGTAAAACATTAAAGCAGGCCTATATTACTTTTATTATATTTATATTACTATATTACAGCCAGTATGTCCACAAGTGACACTTACATAATGGTAAACGTTAAATTTGATGTAACAGTAGCTAAGCAGTGAAGTGTAATGAAATCACAGTAATACACAGTAATATCTACCTCAGGTTTGCCAACATTAGCCACCATAAGCTCGTCATACCAGACTAAATTAAGCAACTTTCATTATTAATGACTAATGACAACATTTTATTTGTAAGATTAGGAATTTGGGATTTTATTTATTTTTCTTTCAGAAGTTACTTTAAATTAAATGCAGATAGATGCACGAGACAGATCTTGAAAAAATGCAAAGTCATTCCTGAGCTTTGAAGTTGTAGTTTGACGAGTCAAGGTCAGCTCACTAGCTTTTTTTTCTGGGGCTTAAAACAGTATTCATCAGTGAAGAAATTGCCTCAGTCGGCATGGATTGACATGCAAACTTAATAACAGTTATAATTTAATCCATAGCAGTGCAGCTGCTTAAAAGTTTTATTATTCACATTGGAAACCAACTCAAGGTCCACTTACCAGCTTTTGTCAAGATTCAAGATTCAGTACTTTATTGCCATACAACTCAGTGCAAGTTGCTAGGGATTTGCTTCAGTG